GCAAATATTTAGTTGTCAGTATTTAGGGAAAAAAACCCAGCATAACTAGAATGAGCTGATCATTCTGTTGGTCTTTGAGGTCTTGCTGTAAGTTTTTTTTCTTTCCTTGCTCTCCTTTTTTCACTCCCTGGTTCCCTTACTGCCTCTTCCAAACCATCCTCCACCAAGTGTTAAAACTGAAAAATGTGGACAGAAAGAGCCCTCGAGTAATTCAGACAGGGGACTCTCCATTTTGGGGGGCATGTACTCAACCCTCTGCTTTAATTTTAAGATATATTATCAGGTCATTTGATCAACTGCAGAAATATTCTGCATCCTGTAAAGGAATCAGAAAGAGGATTAAAAATTTACCAGACATACAGGCCACTAGGGAAACCAGGTATATAGAGTAAGTCTGAACTCTTGCTCTCAGAAGGCTGGTCAGACGTTCCTTTCTGACCATAACTGTCACTGAGACGGCTCCCTGCATTTGCTTGAAAGTCGTTTGTGTTTCTCTGTCTACTCATCCTATGTCTGGGTGAATGGAAAGTCATTTGGAACTTCTCTACACAAAGCAGATCATACCTTTTGCAAATGTAGTAATTGTCTCCAGCTTCTCAGTGAAAGGGCAAAGTATGAGAAACCGAGGACAGAATGGGGCGCCTGGGTGGCACAGTCAGTTGAGTGTCTGACTCTTGGTTTCGGCTCAGGTCATGATCCCAGGGTTCTAGAATCGAGCCTTGTGTCTGACTCTGTGCTGGGCATGGAGTCGGCTTCAGAGTTTCAGTACCTCTAGCTCTGCCCCCACTGAGATAAATAAATACATCTTAAAAAAAAAAAAGAAAAACAGAGAACAGAAGAGAATTGAAGGGTCATCACATGAGCATGAAAACCTGAAGAAATATGAACGAATGTCGTTAAACCAGTGACTTCTTTGCATTCACCAAGTCAAAATGTTCCCTGCCCTTCACCCCCTCCTTCACCATCCTCTGAACTGATGCTGGGGAAAAATGTAACTGGTAAAACTGAATAAGGTGAAGCATACAGAGAAATGCAGAATAAAAACAGAAAATTAAAATTAAGGAATGTAGAGAAGCCAAGTAAGTGGGGAAAAAATGAAGATGAATAACTGGAAAGAATCACTGGAAAATACTCAGTCTGCCAGAAGACTTATAAAACCTGAAGCCTTTTAGAGGACATTCAATTAAAACCAAAAGGCTTTTTTTTTAAAAGTTGAGTAAACAAAATCCCAAAGAAGATTGTTGGAACCCCTTGATTTAAACTGAGTATCCAGCATTAGTATATAGGATAAAATACTTTCAATTTCCATGAAAACCACAGAAAGGTTTAAAAAAAACTTGGGTCTTTCATATTTATTTTTAGGTTCGCTAATTAACTCAAAAAGGCTTACCCCCTTGTTTAAACTGAGGTGTAATTAAGGTATCTGAGTACAACAAATTCAGCTCTAAAGCTAAGTGAGAATGTAGGAGGCAAAACCTGAGATTTTTCAGATACTCTTTTTAAAAAAAACTTCTGGAAGTGTTCTCTATCTTCCCAGTAAATCACTGAGAAATTACCATAGGTCGGGTACTCTCATTGGTGCTATGAGGGATCCAGAGACAAAACAAGGTTCTTTGTCAGCTCGTTCCTAACAAGCCGATAATCGGAGACGGCCAGCATCAATGCCTCCTGGTATTTGGTGAGCTTAGACCATCCCTAGTCGTTGAATTTTCTAGTTAGTGCAATTGTGACCAATGTATGCATCAAGGCCTTTTATTTTAAAAATAAATAAAAGTGGATGATAGGGACACAACATACTTTAATCTTTTTTAATCCCTTTTTAATTATGTGGAATCCTCAAAGGAGCAGAGGCAACCGCACTCGACCAGAATGTACCAGAGCTCTGGGGCCCAGCAAGCGTCAGGTTCTTGGATCTGGTGCCCCACGGCCTCTGGCTGTTCTGCTTTATCATCGTTTGAGATCATTAGTGCTGCCTCTTTAATGAGCTCCCTCTTCTAAATTTTAAGAAGTTGTCAGTGTTAACTCTGAAGCGCTTTCTAAGCCTTACCACACCTCTGCGAGGTAGGCACCGGTCCTGCAGAGGGTTACACCACGGCTTACAAGTATAAGGACACTTGCTGTGTCCATGACGCTTGGGAGGTTCAAGTCCGGATTCTAAACCCAAGTCTAACTCTGGCACGTGATCTTGGCCTAATAATATTGGTCCGGAGGTCTCCTGTCTTTTATCCGAATTCTGAAGTTCACGAAGCTCTAAAACTTGCAGTGGTTTTTTTTCATACCTTTGGTGGCAAAACACGACCCGAACTTACTTCAACCCATGGTCTCTTTTCTGCTTGCTGTAAATGTTCCCAGATTTCACCGCGGCTCTGTCATGTCTGTGTAATAGACAGTAGATGTACATACTCCTTTTACCTTCTGAAAGTCGGAAAACCTTGACATTCTGAAACCCTCGAACCCCGTGCGTTTTCACCACGGACATGCCCTGATGGCCCCGTGCCACCTGCCAGCCAACTCCTACTTCTTCCCATCCTCCCCTTCCCCCCAACACTAGGCTTCCAGTTTGCCGCTCCTACTACCCTGTGGATATGGCAGTTGAAATGTGTAAACTTTAATGTCCAAAAAACTCAGTTTTTTTCAACTCCTGAGTTCGTACCGCTACTCGTGGTTCCAGTCCAGCCCCCACGGGCCCCTTCCTTTCTTCCCGCATTCCCTCACTTCCTTCTCCTGCAAGGAGAATGGTGACACTTCTATGTTTAGAAAGCAAGGGGCCCTTTCTATTTAACCAGGATGCGAAGCATTTGTCCCGGTATGTGAACAGTTAGATGTACATTTTACTTTAGATAATAACAGGTCCTTCGTTTTGTGCTACGATTCACTGTGGTTTAATTGTCAGCACTTTTAGTGCATTTAAGATGATACGTCTCTGGGAATCATACAGAACATTTTAGGAATAATACATATTATCTAAAGCAAAGTAGCCAGAGCCCTTTTAAATGTTAATCATCTGAAGCCAAATAAATGTGTTCAGAATAGATGATGGAAGGTCATTGCTGGGATATCATACCCCTTCCTCCTCACTCAGGGGAAAAGTAGAGAACAGAATCTTTGATGAGTTAAAGACTCCCTGAAGGCCTTAAGTATATTCATCTAGAATGAGGGAAGTAACGGCTAGATTGTTGAAGACTGATCTTTTATTCTAGCTTTTTTTTTTAGGATTTTATTTATCTATTTGACAGAGAGGTATCACAAGTAGGCAGAGCAGCAGGCAGACAGAGGGGGAAGCAGGCTCCCTGCTGAGCAGAGAGCCTGAAGTGGGGCTCGATCCCAGGACCCTAAGATCATGACCTGACCCAAAGGCAGATGCTTAACCCACTGAGCCACCCAAGCGCCCCTCTAGCTTTTTTTTTTTTTTTTAAACGGAGGGATCAGGAGTCAGTGGGGGAAAGAAAGGTTCTGCAGATGACTTTCATGAGTGGGTTCTTTTATTTCTAGTCTTATTCAGTGGGGGAGAGGAAAGGAATAAACCAGAACTTGGCTGCAAGTGTTGGCAAATTAGATTTACTTCTGGATCTCTGGTTTGTGGCCTATATCACATTTGGAAGACTGAGGAGAGTTTGGAGGAGAAAGTGTTCCCTGAGCCTTGCTTGTTTGTCTCGGGGCCTGGCCCCAAGGTTGCCCATCTCCAAACAGCTTCCTGGCAGCACAGAGCATCAGGAAGGCCTGTGGCGGGGGCGCCTGGGTGGCTCAGTGGGTTAAGCCGCTGCCTTCGGCTCAGGTCATGATCTCAGGGTCCTGGGATCGAGCCCCGCATTGGGCTCTCTGCTCAGCGGGGAACCTGCTTCCTCCTCTCTCTCTATCTGCCTCTCTGCCTACTTGTGATCTCTCTCTGTCAAATAAACAAATAAAATCTTTAAAAAAAAAAAAAAAAAGGAAGGCCTGTGGCGTCTGAGGGAGTTGGGGCGGACCCATGGATGTTTATTGACTGCCTGCTTCGTGCCAGGCTCCGCACATGTTATCCCACTTAGTTTTTACAAAAACTGAAATTTCATCCCCTTTTTTTTAGGTTAAGGCAGTTGCAATTTAGAGCAGTTAAGAAGCTTACCAAAGGTTTCTTACCCCCAAATTGGAGGAGTTGGGGCTGAAGCACATTTCTGTCCCCAAAACCCATGCTTTTCTCTCATGTCCCCCATCCCCCAGCCATCATCAGGTTTACAGCAGGACTCTAAGGTCATGCTACTCTGGTCAAAGCAGCTGGGGAAGGGGCTTGGGTTTCCTCCTTCAGGTGGCTATGTCCCTTTTCTCTCCCTCTGTCCTACTTACAGAAGTTTTAGACACAACCAGCTCAGGGCAACCAGTCAACTCCGTGACCTCTGTCTTTATGGTCAACGCTGGGTCTTACCTTTTTGGACATGTCAGAGTAGATCACTCGGCTTCTGAGTGCACCTGTGAATGGGTTTCTCTGGCACATCTTGAGTCAATCAGAGCAGGTCAGTGGCTGCTTCCCAGAGTGACAAAGCTCTGATTCCTGGAGAAACACATTTGAAGAACGCCTTAGGAAACAGTTGATGCACAGGAGGTGAATATATGTGGAATGAATGGGCCTGTTGCCTTCTGGAAACCCCTGTGAACAGGAGTGGATTTGCATGTTCTCCTACTTTTTGTACTTGGCAGTTTTCCTACAGTGTTTATTTGAAAACAAATTCAGATTATATTCCAGGTCATTTTTATATCACCACCGGCAACAGTAGAAATATATTTGTGTTAAGAAAAAGAAAAACCAAACTGCTTTCAAGGTTGCCTCTTAGAAAAAAAAATGTTCTTTTTTCTATTCTAATTAAATTATTTTCTTAAACTTGCAATTTCAGAGGATAAAAATTTAGAGACTGCAGGATTGTTCCTTTTTTTTCCCCTCCTAACCAGTAACCATGCTATCATGAGAGCACTTTATTATTACATCTGTTAGATTATAAAATCATGGAACATTTATTGTCTCTTAATAGGGAGAGATAATGCTTGTGAGAAAACTTCATATATGTTTCTACGGAAGGAGCTTCCCGTAAGACTGGCCAACACGATGAGAGAAGTTAATCTTCTGCCGGATAACTTGCTTAACCGCCCTTCGGTGGGGTTGGTTCAGAGTTGGTAAGTAAATAATGTGGCTTTACATGGGTCTTCCCATAATGCTCTGAGCACCTGGCATGGAGCCCGTTTTCCCTAAAAGTACGTGAACCGCATGTGTGGGGATGAGTCATTTGGGATAGCTGCAATTTTCCAAGCAATTGAAAGTTTGTTTTTTTTTTTTAAACTGACAATTTCAAATTGTCTTAATGAAAAGACTTCTAAACTGTGTGAGACAGCTTTCTTGACTTTGCAGATTTTATTTATTTTTCTGGTTATAAATGTAATTGCTCACTGAAACAAAAATTAGAAAGTAGAGAAAAATGTAAAGGAATAGGAACACAGTGCCCCACGCAAACCGGTCTGCAGTCCGTTGGATAAGGGGATGTTGCTACTTTTGATCGAGTGTCAGCCTTGCTCCTTCTGTTTTCCTGTTGAAGGAGTTTCTTGGCAGCTGTATTTCTGTTAGAGAAAATTATGTCATTTAAAGGGGAACCTCCGATTGTAAAAATACCAGTGCCTAATGTGCTTCATTTGCCTTAATGAAAAATTTAAAAAAAAATCTCAACAGAGAATGACATAAAGTTCGATCAGGTACAGCTCTGATGGTGCAAGCGTGTGTTATTTAATTGAGGAAGTCGAATTTGTGACCAGACTACCCCCTAGGTAAGTAGGGTGAGGTCGGTGAGTGCATACTCGAGAAACACTTGCTTGTCTCCTGTGTATTATAGAAGCAAGCAGAAGTCACGGTGGAGAAAGCTGGAGGAGTTTGAGAGGCCAGAGGCAAACAGCACCCCCGAGCCAGTGCAGAGAGGAAGTGCTGTGGGCATGCAGCCGAGCGGGGAGAAAGGGCCCCCGCGGCTTTGGGCTTTGCGCTGTCCCTGGCCGTATGGATGGAGTGGATAGGAACAGGGAGAACATTTTAGGGGAAGGGAACGATGTGGACAGATTGAAGGAGAATGGAGCTTTAATTAGTTGGCTTTTTAAAGGGTTAATGGCAGCTGGGCTGTCCAAAGGGAATGGACATTCAACAGTTATTCCTCAGTAATAGTAATTGAATCCGTGCTTAGGGTGAAGCATGAATTGTCTGAGAAACAGTAGATGGGCTGGCCTGGGCGATCAGGCACCCAGTCCCAGATAAGCCGCAACTCCTCCCTGTGGCAGGCTTAGGGGCCTGGGGGTCCAGGGGAGGGAGGTCAGAGAGCGGCTGCCCACCCCCCCCTCCTGGGTGGAGGGGTTGGGACTTTGGTACTCCGCTGTCACCATCCCTTGCTGTCCACCCCCATGCATACTTTGTTCCAGCAGGAGCAGCAAGTGCTTGTTTACGTGAGATTTCTTTATTGCTTCAAGAGCATCATCAGAAATTTTCCAGCAGAAAGTGTATACTCACTCTTGGGGTCATTGTGGTGGGGCTTGGAGGTTGACTGACCTGGTGGCAGTGACTGATAGTCCTATATCTGTTGCTTACGTAAAAGTTACTTTGAAGCTTCGAAGTGAATTTGCTGGCAAAACATAGACTCAGATGATGGGGTCAGCTCTTTTTTGTCTCACATTTCTCGTCTGTAGCCTACTTAAACATATGCCTGTCACTTCTTCCTTTTTTTTTTAAATTCAATTTTGAAATAATTTCCTATATAACAGAAAGATGTGCGAGACTAGTAGTGAGAATTGCCATATGCCTTCACTCAAATTCACTACCTGTTAACATTCAGCTAACATTTGTCCTGTTGTTCTCATTCATATTCTCTCTCTCTGGGTGTGTGTACGCTTAGGGTATATCAAACATGTGGTACTCACATACATATATGATACACATTTTTTTTCCTAAACCATTTGGGTTAATGGTGGACATGCCCCTGTACCCCTAACGACTTTGGTATGTATCTCCTTAGAACAGCTCTTAGAAAAATACAGTATGATTATCAAATTTGGAAATTTAACATTTATCCAGTAATATTTTCTAATGTGGGAGAACTTTTTCTCATTTCATTAATTGTCCTAATAGTGCTCTTTTTTTAAAAGATTTTATTTATTTGACAGACAGAGATCACAAGTAGGCAGAGAGGAAGGCAGAGAGAGAAGGGGAAGCAGGCTCCCCGCTGAGCAGAGAGCCCAATGCGGGGCTCAATCCCAGGACCCTGAGATCATGATCTGAGCTGAAGGCAGAGGCTTTAACCCACTGAGCCACCCAGGTGCCCCAGTGCTCTTTTTTTTTTAAGGAGATTTTATTTATTTATTTGAGAGAGAGCACGAGGTGGGGCAGTGGGGAGAGGGAGAGGCAGACTCCCTGCTGAGTGGGGAGCTGGATGTGGGGCTTGATCCCAGGACCCTGGGATCGTGACCTGAGCCAAAGGCAGATGCTTAACCTGCTGAGCCACCCAGGCACCCCAGTAGTGCTCTTTTTTTTTTCCCCAGCAATCCCTGCCTCCCCAATGTAGGAGTCCAGTTAGGGTCACACATTGTACTTAGCTGTCATTTCCTTTTCCTCTTGAAAGTGACTCTTACGGGGCGCCTGGGTGGCTCAGTGGGTTAAAGCCTCTGCGTTCAGCTCAGGTCATGATCTCGGGGTCCTGGGATCGAGTCACGCATTGGGCTCTCTGCTCATCGGGGAGCCTGCTCCCCCCCCCCGCCGCCTACTTGTGATTTCTCTCTGTCAAATAAATAAATAAAATCTTAAAAAGTGACTCTTACTCATAACAGGCCGTGAAGCCCACCTCAGCTAGAGTATGTTCTCCTTGTTCACTGGACTTTCAGGCTGGGAAGCTGGGCAGCGTCCTTGGCTCCTCTCCACTCATGACTTAGGTCTTTAAGTGAACTACCCCTTTTGGAAAGGAGGGGTCACCTTCCCAGCATTCTGCTGGTGTGTGACAGTTTAGAGGGCCTTGTTGCCTCTGGCTGACTTTGCCCTCTGTGGGAGGTCTGACCTGATGATTTCAGCAGTGCCCAATCCATAGCCTGATTTGCCCGGAGGCTTTTAAACAGTATACCCAGAGATGAACATACTTTATTGTCACGCATCGTTACAAAGCCCAAGTGAGGCTGACGACTAAAACATCATTCCTGCTTATGCATTTATATGCTTCACAGTCATTTTTTGTTACTGGAGTACCCTCATCTTCCCTCCAAAGCCTGGCTAGTAGGATTAGTCATAATTAATTGTTAGAAATAATTCTGTTAAGGACTAATTCTTTCCGGGCATGTTCAGATCCAAAGCAGAGATGACGCACCCCTGAGTAACGGGTATCTCTGAGTCCCCTCCAGACCCGGCAGGTTCTACCTGCCGTGGAGCTGCGTCAGTAGTGTGCCTCTCTCGATCCCATTTTTCTGTGTTCTCCAGAGAGTTATTTTGGACTCATTATTTCCTATACAGGCTCTGATTGATACGTAGCTATTTTTAATCTAGAAGCGGTTTCTGAGGACCTGAGAGGCATTCCTTCTCCTCCTTTGCAGTGTTGATAAGATTAGTTTAACTTTGAGAAGGAACATTTATTTGTAGTTTCTGAGTTCTTAGCATGCATGTTAGCGTCACACACGTGTTCCTTACAATTCATATGCTTGTCTTGGCTAATCCAACTATGGATTTGGTGTATGGGCTAGAGTATGTTTGTGAGTAGCAGACAATCCAACGAAACCATACATTGGCTCGTGTTGCCATAGGATGAACTTTTCGTGTTGGTTCGATTTAGAGATTCATGAGATTACGGAGACCCTGCTTTCCATGGTGTCGGCTTTATTTTCAGGCTGTGTTTGCTCCCGGCGGCAGAATGGCCGCAACATTTCCAGGGTTTACAAAGTCCACGTAGCCCACTGTGCAAGAAGCAGAGCAAGTTAATTTCTTTCTCTTCCAAAGACCCCCACTGAGGCTTCCTCTTATTTTACTGGCTTGAATTGGGGCGGTGTGCCCATTCCTGAGCCAGTCTCTTTGTTCAGGGGAATGCAATGCAATGCAATGCCAGGCCTAGGCCTCGACTGTTGGGCTAGTTAGTAGTCAGTGACAAAAAAAATACCATTACCCGGAGAAAAGTCAGGCCACCCAGGAGCTTTGCATGGCGTCTGCTTCCCCTGCAGCCCTTGGGCTGCAGTGCGGGGGGGTTCACCGGGGGGTTAGGTGAATACCTGAGTGAAGTTTTAGGCTACTCTTAGGAAGAAGGAAAGGAGGAATGGAAGCTGGGTAGGCAATTAACAGAGTAACTCCTCTTTTTTAGGTATATGCAGAGCTTTCTGGAACTTTTGGAATATGAGAATAAGAGCCCTGAAGATCCACAGGTCTTGGATAAGTAAGTATGGTACCAAACTTACCTGACAGTAGAAACATCCGGGCTAAAAAATGTGTTGGTAAATGGAACTCATGTCATTAAGAACCAAGAAGTGTAATTTGGATGAAAGCATTACGTTTGTTAATGGGTAACAACTCAGTATCACATTTCTAAATAATTTTAGGTAATTTAACATAGCACAAAAGGAATAATGACCCTTCAAATTATGTTTCATGATCTAGGTCTTTATATTTTCCCTCCTGGGGAACTGGTGCTGGCCACTCGCCGTAAATATTGCGGTGAGTGTACCACCTAGTGGTCGTTTTAAGAATGCAGTGGCCTCTGGATAGACCTGATTTATCTACTTAGTCCTTCACGATTTTTTGTTCAATTTTTTAAAACTTTTCAAGGCAGTGTAACAGTTGAGCTCAGAAAACCTGTAATGCTTTTGTTTTGGAGCAGCATACAAGAGTGTGCTTTTAATATAACAACCTGAGTTCTCTGCTGCTGTTTGGCACGAAGACTGCTAACTTCTCATGCTGATGGAAAATGGTGCTGTTTTTCCATCTTCGTTTAACTGGAAAACACTCACCCTAGCTCCGAGTATATGTGTGTGTGTGTGTGTGTGTGCGCGCTTTTTTTTTAACCCCAAGAGAAATTAAGTATCCCCTTCACATTACTCTCCTCCCATTTCTCATACACACGAGGGACTGCCCATGGCAGGCCTGTTGTGCTGAAGAATTTTCTTTCTACAGAGAAGCCTGGTCCACGTAATTGTTACACCAAACGCCTTACACACAGACATTCCAGAAAAAGAACAAAGAAACACTGTGTTACAAAAGCAATCATAAATCAACCCAACCCTTTCCGGTCACAGATAAGGAAATTGAGGTCAAAGAAGGGGGAATGACTTGTCTAAAGTTGTAACATTCATTGGTAGCAGAGGGGATCTGTAAATCCTTGTTCCGTTTCCTTCGGGCATCGTTCTACACAATGTACCACCTGCCAGAACTGACTGTGTGAGCCTCGAGTAGCTCGCTCCAGCTTAGTTGTAAATTAAAATATAAGGTTGTATACACCTGTCGTCTTTGCTAGGTGTTTCGGAAATGGATTTGTTACTTGTGAAAGGGAGGCATTGCAGTAGAGGCCCAGATGCAGTGTTCTCCTTGCTATAGGCCATTGCTCTCACTTAGCATATCGAAATTAAAGGACTTGAATCCGAAAGCTTTGTTTTCTCAAAAGTCATTAGCTAGTAACAGTTTGTTTTGCTGACATCCTAGAAATTAGGACTGATGTCTCTAGCTTCAAATTTTAGGGTATAGTTTTGTGGAAGTAAATAATATTAAATTGCTACTGTATGTTTCCCAGAATCCCGTCTCAGTTTCTGGAACAGGTTATTGGTCAGATGCAATTTATGGACGGGAGCCCACTTTGGAAACTGCCAAGTGCTGGATCCAGTGCATATGAGATCATAATGATAATTGCTCCCCCTCAGTGAGTTTTGGTGACTTGCCCAGGTTCACACAGCTAGTTGGTATAGTATAGCTGGGGTTTCAGAAGCCCACTGCCCCTGGCGAAGGAAGGAAAGGAACGTGAGCTAATCGCTGTACTCGTAGTAGTAGCTTTTTCCAGTCCGGGAGAGGCTGTACAGGAGTCCTGGGCAGGGAGATCATTTAAGTGAGAAAGCAGCTTAGAGAACAGGCTTGTTTCTCTTGATGATAAAATTAAGAAGACCCCAGAAGACTGGGGAAGCTTTCTGAGAATTGAGCCCTTGAGGCAAGTCTCCTTGCTTCTGATAAGTTGAGGTGCTTCTCTACTGTAATGAAATCTTTCATTTTAGTGATAGTGGATTTATAAGTACATTAGAAAGAACATTATGTAGAGGACAGATTGTCCATTATCAAATTTCTCGTGAATAATTATGACCTTCCAGTTTCGGAGTTGATTTATTCAATTCTGCTGTCTTTATGTGTGTGTATGTGTTCCAGGAGATTGTCATCACTGAGAAATATTAAGACTGTTCAGATAAGTGAAAAGAAAGTCACTCCAAATTTCCATTACCAGGGGACAACTACTGTTAACATTTTCCTTCCATTCCATACTTTTTCCTAGGCATCCATATGTTTTTGTACACAATATGTTTTACAAAAATAACTGTGGACATTATAGATCTCTATACCATTACTAATGGTTTCCAAATGGTCCATCTACAGGTAAGTCATGTGATTTGACCTCCTGTCATTGAGTTGTAGAATGGTTTGTATTTTTCTTGCTACTCTAAACAGGGCTCTTAAGAATAGCTCCGTCTTGTTATTTTCTTAGGATCAATTCCTGGGAGTGGAATGAGACTCTGTGGTCTTTTGATACATGTTGCTAAATTGCCCCTAGAAATGGATCAGTCTTGCTTCCACACTCTAGAGGACACTGGTTTTTTCTTTACCAGTGTGATGAGTGGAGAATGGTACTGCGTTGTTTTACTTTTCTGTTACTATTTTTGAAGGTTAAGTTATTGGTATTTGCATTGCCTCTCTGGTAAATTTCCTATTCATGCCAAATCCCTTGCCTCATTTTCTGTTAGGGTGCTCATCTTTTCCTTTATAAAAGATAGTAGCTCTGGCAAACATCTTTTTCCCAGTTTCCACTTTGTTTTTTTTTTTTACTTTATAACCTGTATCCCTATAGAATTGCCCAAATTCTGCATAGTCCTTTTGTTGGTTTCTTCAGGCTTCTACCTGTAGTATTAAGCTTAGAACAGCCTTCCTTACCCCAAGGCATACTATACTACATCCTTATTTACCTGATTTTCTTTTATTTTTTTCTGTGATTTCATTCTTTTACGTTTAAATCTTTTAACTAAGTTATTGGCTTAAGGCTTGAAACTGGGATGTGACTTTAACTGGTAGCCACCTGTCCCAACTAATTTGGTCGTTTCCCTACTGACTCGGAATGCCACTTTATCAATGTGCTAAATTTTTATGCTTACTTAACTTGCCCTTGGTCCTTCTTCCAGGCTTTTTATTTGGTTCCATTGACGAGGCTCTCTGTTCTTAGTTGCCATTCTTAGTATATTTTTTCCTCTGTATCTTTATAGTAATATACCATAATTCTTTTTTTTTTTCTGATTAAGCTTTTGTTTTAATGGGTCTTAAAATTCTGTGACAGATTTTTGGTCAAGTTGTTTCCATTAAAAAGTACTGATTTTAGGGGCGCCTGGGTGGCTCAGTGGGTTAAAGCCTCTGCCTTCAGCTCAGGTCATGATCCCAGGGTCCTGGGATCAAGCCCCGCATTGGGCTCTCTGCTCAGCAGGGAGCCTGCTTCCCCCTCTCTCTCTGCCTGCCTCTCTGCCCACTTGTGATCTCTGTCAAATAAATAAATAAAATCTTTTAAAAAAAAGTACTGATTTTAAAAACTAACAACTTAAAACTGCCACACACACACACACACACACACACACACACAGGTGGTCCACAAGACATCCTCCTTTCCTTCTAAAAGTTTTATGATGCATTGTTATAACATACCATAATTCTTAACTTGGTTTGTTTTAATTGCCTTTGCTCTGTCTACATTTCATCACTCTATTTTACTGCTATGTGAAATTCATTTCAAAATTTGACTCTTAAAAAGTTTCACATTATTTATTCATGAAAGCTGTTGCTTTGAGACTTTCTAATAAATCCCTGGAGATTTGGGGGGGGGAGTGCCCTCGTGTTGTCAGAAGAAATATTAGTGTGTTCTGCAATTATTCAGCAAACATTTATGGAACCAGTATTCTATGTGATCACTTTTCCATAAAGTCCATGGATTCCTAAGGTGTTTAAGCATTTTTTCTTTACTAGAACCTTTTACTTTTTGTGTCTCTGAAAGAATTTCGATAGAAAGTTTCAAGCAAAACCTTGGGTAATACTTCAGTTTCTCCTTGTAGCCCATAATGATGATATCTCTGCTTACGGGGCGCCTGGGTGGCTCAGTGGGTTAAAGCCTCTGCCTTAGGCTCAGGTCATGATCCCAGGGTCCTGGGATCGAGCCCCACATCGGGCTCTCTGCTCAGTGGGGAGCCCGCTTCCCTTTCTTTCTCTCTTCCTGCCTCTCTGCCTACTTGTGATCTGTCAAAATAAATAAATAGATAAATAACCTTAAAAAATAAAAATACCAGCACGTAAATAGTCCAGAGATAGAGCTGGGAAGTTTATGCATCAGTGCGTGAGATCAAAAGACTGACCACTTTTTGTTTCCTTCCCACACAGCTTTCTGCAAGTTCTGATCAAAGTGCGAAACAGACACAATGACGTGGTTCCTACAATGGCACAAGGAGTGATTGAATACAAGGAGAAATTTGGGTTTGATCCATTCATTAGCAGTAACATCCAATATTTTCTGGATCGGTTCTATACCAACCGCATCTCTTTCCGCATGCTTATCAACCAGCACAGTAAGTTGGGGTTTTGGTCCACTTGTGAAAGGGCACCCAGAGTGATTTCTTCCAGATGTTTTCCTGTTGCTTCACTGATCTGAAGTTTGGTCTGTAGAAATTTCATTTCTAGTTTAATTTTTCCTAAGTAAATCCTATCCATTAAAAAGCTCTTCATTAGTATTCTTAATGGAAATCCTTGAAATGTTGATGTTCACATTAGAGGTAGGAACTCTGCCTGCCTTTTAAGCCTCTACCTTTACGTTCCTGGTGAGGGCGTGATAGTACTTTGATGTGTCTCTGAGAGTGTGGTCTAGTCTTTATTCAGGGGTTATGTGTTTTCCTTTTTGGTTTTAAAAACATCAATACTGGGAATATTGAATTGGCGTTTTGACAATCCGAGCGATTGATCTTTAATTTCACCGTGATCACGGAAATCAGATTAAGCAAACTGTCAAACCGTAGTCTCCTTTGGAGAGTTTTAGACCACTCACCAGGATGATAAGCAGATAGGAAAAAACAACTAAAATTCTGGCCACAAAAAAACTTTTTGGCTCATTTTCAGTATTGTCTCTTTGCCTGATTTCATAATTCTTAAGAAAAAGCACCTACATGTCTATAGCCTAAATCGTCCTCTTTGCTGAAGCAAAAAATGGGCAGAGCATCTCTGCTAACTTGATTTATTTGGATTAGTGAGTGTCATATGATTATTACATGTGGGTTGGTCCCAAATGTATATCTTAAAAATAGAAGTGTCTGACAGTTTATAGGAAATTTAAATGAAAAAAGAACCTAATTACTATTCAATTAAACTACTTACATAACTACAGGGTTTTTTTTTTTGACCTAAATGTGTCTGTCTACATATATATGTACATGTTTTTAGATCACTGATTAAGCTTGTACACCTCTGTTTTTCTTCCACTTAATCATTTGGAAGTGTATGTATTGGCCTAATGCCCTTATTTGTCATTTTTCATAATTTAAAATATCCCCTATTGTTTTTCAAAGATCTTATTTATTTATTTGTCAGAAAGACAGAGAGAGAGAGAGGGAGAGAGAGTGCGCACAAGCATGAGGAGTGGTAGGCAGAGGGAAAAGCAGGCTCCCTGTTGGAGCAAGGAGCCCGACAGGGAACTCGATCCCAGGACCTAGGCTCATGACCTGAGGCGAAGGCAGACACCCAACCAACTGAGCCACCGCAGCGTGACAGATCTTCCCTATTTTTTTTTAAGATTTTATTTATTTATTTGATGGAGATCACAAGTAGGCAGAGAGGCAGGCAGAGAGAGAGGGGGAAGCAGGCTCCCTGCTGAGCACAGAGCCTGATGTGGGGCTTGATCCCAGGACCCTGGGATCATGACCTGAGCCGAAGGCAGAGGCTTTAACCCACTGAGCCACCCAGGAGCCCCTCAGATCTTCCCTATTTTTTTTTTAAAGATTTTATTTATTTATTGGACAGACAGAGATCACAAGTAGGCAGAGAGGCAGGCAGAGAGAGGAGGAAGCAGGCTCCCTGCTGAGCAGAGAGCCCGATGTGAGGCTCGATCCCAGGACCCTGGGATCATGACCTGAGCCGAAGGCAGAGGCTTTAACCCACTGAGCCACCCAGGCGCCCAGATCTTCCCTATTTTATCCCCTAACTTAAATTCTCCTTTTGTGGAATCTAAGCTCTCCCCAATTTTTGTTTGATTTGAAAATAAGCACATCTATAAAAATTGGGATTCAGATTACTTTTTTCTTTGAGGCTCCTTTTGGCTTTTATTCAGAAGTAATATTTTGTAAATCTTGTATAGCGTGGAAGTATTTGAATGTAGTTTTAAAGATACTTGAACAAAAAGAAATATCTGAACACATATTATTTGTGTATACTACATTGAAAAGTACTCCCCGTGATGGAGGCATTTGAAATGTTCATGGTAAATTCACTTCACAAGCCTGCACTAACAGTACAGACTGCATTTTCTAAGTAAGTGGTGAATGTTGGAATCAATGTCTGGAGTAATACTGAGAAGGTGAGTAAACTTGGCTGAGGATGAGAATAACTTTTTCATCCAAGTCACATGGGGTCAGAGAGAAAAGGGCTAGACCCCTGGCATTGGTTATTGCTTTCTGACCTGCTAACGCAACCAGAAGACCTTAGAACATGTCCTTCCTCCTTTGCTATCCAGTAGAGCTGATCACCCCTCAGTGTATGTGTTCTCTAGCTTTAAGTCCCTCTGGATGCTAAAATGATTCTTACAAATAAGACAGTCATTTCAAAACCTGGTAGGCTACATTGCCTGCTTTGTTTTTAATCTCTTGCTTCCCTTTTGTGTTTGTTTAGCACTTCTGTTTGGTGGTGACACTAACCCGGCTCATCCTAAACACATCGGAAGTATTGACCCCACCTGCAATGTGGCTGATGTCGTGAAAGGTAAGGAGGCCACTACAGTGTTAGTGATCGTAGTCCAGATAGGACTGTGGTTTAATCGAGGCAACTTGGCCATAGGGTTATGACGCTGACTTCTTTGCTGATTCATCAGGTCTCTCTGGGCCCAAGCCACTTGTGCCAAATAGATGTTCTTTCAAGGCAGTTCAGGAAAAGATGCATAATTAGCAGCATTCGACATGGGAGTTTCTACCTCATTGGCTAGTTTTGTCTTGAACACTAACTGGTTGTTAGCTTCAGGAACATTCTAAGTTTTGATTGCTCCCATGATCTGAAACTTCCAGAAAATGTAAGTCCAGGTTCTAAAGTTTGGCTAAAATTCACATGGTTGTAAAATCCCAGCATTTTTCTGCTGTGCACCCCAGGTCTGGGGATCTATGTGGTAAGTGAGCTTTACCAGTTCACTGGCCATCGGGCTGGATGGACACTGTTCTAGTAACCTTAGGGTAGAACAGAGCCCCACAGCCATACGTCCCTGGTACCCAGGCACTTCGAATTTGAACAGCAGTTTCCTCATTATTCATTTAAGGTAAGTGTCACCTCCAGAAAGCCTCCCTAATTATAAGTGACCTACCAGGTGCCTGGACCTTTTCAGGTTTTTACTTTTTTCCTGGTGCTAGTTACTCTGTGCAGCTTCAGATTCCCAAACTACCCCTTCCCAAGATTGGCTCTCCTACTATGGCCCTCCCCTCTCTCCTCTGAACACACACAAGTTTTCATGACCACAGCTATCCTGGTTTTCATCACAGATCTTAGTTGTTCCTACTTTTTCTGAACTCAGTAGGAAGTTCAGTAGGAAGCAGACGAGGGCCTTGTCTTCTTGGTGAATCTCTCAAGCTCAGTTCAAGCAGAGTGACCTTTGCTGTTTGAACTCAGAGGGCCAAGGGAGGTGGCCTAGTTAGATGCAGCCTCCCCAGAGGAGGAATAGACCAGACCTTCAGCGGCTATTGGTAAAGAAAACCTGTACTGTTTGTTTACTCTGGGCATTGCTAAACCCAGGGAGAAGGACCCAGGCATGGTGGCCTTAGCTCACCCAAGGATCGTTGAGCTGTTCGGCCTCGGTTTAGGTAGGATACATCTACTCAAATTATCTCAATTTTAAGGTGACTAGGCCTAGCCTCAGCTCCCTAAGAATCCTATAGGTTGCTCACTCACAAGGTAACCCAGTGGTTGATTATGACCTCTGCAGGCCCCAGGGTAAAGGGGAGTAGGATCAGTCTTGTCCTAGCGTGTGTTCATCAGACCCTAGCCCAGTAGATTTTATGAATCAGAAAGCCTGGTTCAGGTAGTTGACTGCCCTTAGAGAAAAAGGCACAAATTCAGAAAGCAAAAGGGCATTATTATGTCCTGCCTTTATGCCTTTTCTTTTGAACTATAAGCAATTTGAGGTCAGCTTTTATGTTTTACATTTGTTTTTATAATGCATATAAAATGTAGTATATGCCTTTAAGATGGTCAGTAAATGTTCCTTGGTTTGATAAATGTTAAGCCTTTTGATAATTTTTTTAAAGATTTTATTTATTTATTTGACAGAGATCACAAGTAGGCAGAGAGTGAGAGGGAGAGAAGCAGGGTCCCTGCTGAGCAGAGAGCCCGACGTGGGGCTCAATCCCAAGACCCTAGGATCATGACCTGAGCCGAAGGCAGAGGCTTTAACCCACTGAGCCACCCAGGCGCCCCATGCCTTTTGATAATTTTTTAAATCAGCCTTACTGAGATCAAATTCTCATATCCCTGCAAGTCACACACAAGCGTACACACAACTCAGTGGTTTTTAGCACAGGTGCACAGCCGTGCCCTCATCACCACCGTCAGTGTCACACCGTCATCCCCAGGGAAAGAGACTCTGACCACTCGCCATGTTTTCCCCCCACCCAGCCCTAGGCAACCGCAGGTCTCCTTCCTTTCTCTAGATTTGCTATTCTGGACACTTTACTGTAAGTGGAATCACACAATACGTGGCCTTCTGTGTCTGGCTTTCACTTACCAGAGTGTCTTCAAGGTCATCTGCATTGCAATGTGGGTTAGTACTTCATTCCCCACCACTGAGTAACATTCCTTTGTATGGATATATTGCATTTTGTTGATTCATCAGCCGGTGGACATTGGGTTAGCTGGGCAACCTTGAACATGTTATGTTAACTTCTTTGGGCCTCAGTTTCTTCACCTGTAAAATGGTGCTTTTGGTAAGTCATCTTTATCATAGGGTTAAATGAGTTAATAGAGCTCCTGAAGCAGGGCTCGCACCCAGTAAGGACTGCAGGCAGGTTTACTAGCTGTGGTCCTTGGGCGTCACAGAAGTCATTTGGCTTCTCATTTATGACATTGCTTTGTTTCTGGCGTAAACTATGAAATATTTTTAAAAGTCATTCAGGACATTTATAAGACAATTGGATGTTTGACATTTAAGAAATGTTAATTTTTTAGATGTGATACCGATATTGTGATTAGGTTTTTTTGAAGGAGTCCTAGCTTCTAGAAAGCTATTTTTTTAATGTTAGGCATGATATAGAATGACATGTGGGTTTTGCCTCAAAATGACACATAACAGAAAAGAGTGGGCTTGTGTTGAAAACTGTTGAGGTTGGTAATGGGTACGTGAGGCGTCCTTACACTGCACTCTGTACCTTTGCATATGCTTGCAATTACTCGTAATCACTCTGTAAAAACAGACCCGTGTTTATCATCTCATCGTTTCTTCACAGTCTTTCATTCCTTTTCAGAGAGATTTAAACCATGAATCTGCAGCTAGATAAATAAGAGAGTTCTAAGCACCTGGTAGCACTTCCGTGGCTCAGAGAGATGAAGAGGCGCTCACGTGGGTCAGGAAGTCAGGTGGGGAGTCAGGAAGTCAGGTCGGGGGGAGACAAGGAGGAGGAGCCAGCTGCCCTTGACTCTTCAGGTGCAAAGAATCTGCCGTTTTGTGGCACTTCCTGTCTGTGCTGCTCTTCCGGGCTTTGTTCTGCACTTCCGGTCGTGGCCTTACTTGTACTTCCGGTGGTCTCTGTGCCTGCGCTGTAGATTTCTCAAGGGCCGGAATTGCTCTTACCACTTCTGCATCTTTCCTCGGGACGCCAGTTTTGTGGTGAAAACTAGCTGAAGGTGATGGGTAAAGCGGTTTGATTCGTGCCCTTACCCCCCTCCCTCCTCCTGTACTTACAGCTCTGACTCCACTCTTTCTCCAGCCAGTTTCAGCTTTCTACCCAGGGGTACTACAGTTGTAACTATGAATGAAGCTTCGGGTGTGTCCTCATGTAATCATTCCTGCCACTTGTGGCATATAACGTAGAGCCTGGATTTCTGGCGATGCCGGGGCCTGTGACAGTCACCCCCTGTGCTCTTTGGCCACTTAGATCACCACTTCCCCTGACATCCACTCTTGCACACACACACTCTTGCCCCACGGTCCTCTGGTAAAGAGGAGGGGCTTGTATGTTCCCTGTTCCTCACCGCGTTTTTCAAACCAGGTTGTTCATTTCTCGACATCCCGTTCCCATAAGGAGCTGAGCAGCGGAGGGTGGTTTCAGTTTCGGAAAGTGCATAAACACATTAAGCCACGTTCACACAATCAGCTCTTCGGCCACCCTTCACCCCCTTCACAAATCGTCCCTACTGATAACGCACAGCACACTCAGTATGCTTGTGGATACTTTCTAGAATGCTCTTTTGCTTCTTCCACCTGGTGAGGTGGATGCTTACTAAGGGCCACTTACTTGTCCTCAAACCATTGGTATAAGTTTTCCACCTGTTGTGACTCCATGATTTATTTCAGTATTATGTAAACTGAAGAAATGCGAGTACGGAAAAGAGACTTACCTCCATTAAAATCAAGTTGAATGCTTTGGAAAGACTTGATAAAGAACAGTCTCTTAAAAATGTAAGAAATGACAGTGAACAGGGGCAGCACTGAGTAAAACTCTCAGAATGAACCTGAGCTCACGTTGCTTCACAAGTGTCTTGAAGTTTATTACTCTTGAAAGGAATAAGGATCAGAATTCACAGATACATGTAGCATTGTTAATCTAAGAAAGATGACCTAGAACTCCAAACCAATCTGTATTGAAGGAAAAGGCTTTGGCCATATCAGAAAAGGTTGACAGAAGATAATTGTGTATTCAAATGTGCATTTTGAAGTTAGTGTTTACAATAATAGTCATACTTTGGGGCTTCCTACTTTATCCAGCATTTTTGTCAGTCACCCAACCCTGTCCCCAGTTGGGTCCATTGAGAGGACTAATGCCATAGCACCAAAACACTAAAAAATGCTCACTGAAGAAAGTTTAGAAAATGCAGAGAAAAAGAAAAGAATAAAAACACCTGTTTTCATAACTAAGTGAGAATGTTGTTTTATACATTTGAGTTCATACCATATCGACGGATGATTATGCAACAGCAAATAATGTGAGTAATCCTTGTCTCTACAAAATCCATAGTATTTGTTTCCCCTTCTCCAGCACTGATGCCCATCACACATGACCTTCCTGGATGAATTCAGCACCTGACAGTGTGGCCCATTTTCCGTCCTCTCTATCATTATAGTTGGAGTCCTTCCTGTGTCTCATCTGCTATACTCATAATCTCTGTATGTGAATAGGTTTTCCAGCTGCGTGTGTATAATCTTTATTCTTCAGCAGAGTACTGGCCTTAAATCAGGTCCCTTTCCTACCCTGGCAAAATGGGCCGGGCAACCTAGCAGGAAACCAGAAGATCTCTTCTCCCTGTAGACTAAAGCACATTTTAACAGTCCTCTCTGTTTCATTGCCTCTGGGCCCACTCCTAATTCTCTGCGTGTCAGGATACCTGCGCAGATGCTGTTTCTGTTTCAAGATAAGACCGAGAGAAGGAACAAAGCGGAGAGCACCAGTGGTCAAAAGGCCTGCAAATTCATCCCTGTCTCAGAGCAAAAAGACACTGAGTCTATTACCCCCAGAGGCCCCAGGAGCAACAATCCAAAGGTCTCAAAGGGCCCATACCTCACAGTTATC